CGGTTTTCAACCGAAACTGTGCATATATGCATTATTTCGGTTTTTTTCGTATGCATTATTTCGGTTTTTTTCATATGCATTATTTCGTATGCACAGTTTCCATATGCACAATTTCAGCGTGCCTTTCAAATACGGTTCCCTCTTTTTTTATAAAGCAATTCCATTTCAGGCTAGTTTTATAAACCAATACTTTGGTACCAATGGGTGACGCTTGAAGTGAGGAGCTTCCGGTGAGCAAATCTCATTTTTGCACAAATGTCAGTTACGCGGTTTTGCAGATCGACGATACGTATATAAATTCATATGAGGTATGTTGAAAATAGGTATAAAGTGGGGGAGAAATATTTCAAAGCTTCAGCTCCCTGCAAGGACATGTGTGTGTCCAGGGAGAAATTATTTCATCAGAATTCCAAAGGATCGCTTTTAGGGATGTTAATTTTTCAGCTTTTTCCGATCCCGGGATTTTCGGGATGGCGTTGGCCCAATCCCGGGATCCCGAGATTAGTCCCGAGTTTTAGATATTCATTACTTTTCAACAACTTGAATCGAAAAAATTGCTTCTATATTGTTTGAGAAGCTCTAACATTAAATAAATAATAATAAATGGGTTTGAAACCTACTTTTTTATTTAAAGTGGCGTTTTTATTTTGTCTCTCTGACCGCAGGATTTATTTTGAAGGAGTTTGTAATTTCAAAGATTTGATTAAATTGTTAAAAAAATTCAATGCTATGTAGAATCAAAATATGGGTAACAAATGCAATAGGAAATTTCTTCAGAATTTAAAAAATTAAAATTTTTTGGATTCACATGGACGAATAGGTAATTTTGAAGCTGACAAAGTTAGAAGAACGAAACTCGAGGATGTTATCGAGTTTATATAAGCCCTTAACATATAATTTTTTCAAAAACAAATATTGCGAAATTTCAAGGATACTTCTAGTCCTTCTGCACCAGAAACTTGAATCTGTTTAAATTCTACAGGATTTCCTACTTAATTTTATACCCATACTTCTTCTCTAAGCACATTTCTCTAAATTTTTCAATCNCTTAACATATAATTTTTTCAAAAACAAATATTGCGAAATTTCAAGGATACTTCTAGTCCTTCTGCACCAGAAACTTGAATCTGTTTAAATTCTACAGGATTTCCTACTTAATTTTATACCCATACTTCTTCTCTAAGCACATTTCTCTAAATTTTTCAATCATTTTTAAATTACTGACGTCATAGTGAAAAACTAAAAACGCAATTTTACTATATTTGGCCCATTGATATTTGTGTTTAAAATTTACTATCGCGCGGTGTTATATGTATAATGAACTATACATTTATAAAAAAAAATATTAATTATTAAATAAAAAACGAAATATAGCCAATACTGGTCAAGAAAAGGAGTTTCTATTATTGCCATTAGTGCAAATTACAAATCCCGAAAATACCGCTATTACTTGCCAAGAATCCCGGGATTTTCGAGCCCATAAAAAGTCCGGGATCCCGGGATTAACATTCCTAGTCGCTTTAGTTGGTCAAGTGTTGAGAAAAAAGCAAAGTATATAATGCATATGAATGTTTTCTATGCTCTTTGACGGTGGCCATATTTCATTTACCTCTACGTATCGAATAATTCGGGATATTTGCTCTTCGCGGCTGGAATATGGAGTTGTATCATTCTAAAGAAATGCTACAGTATATTGTGTCTTAATTACTGATGTGATTGACTTCCTAACTATATCTCCCAACTGCATTCTTTTATTTCTTTTTGGATGCCATGAGAAAACGATATCCCGGATTTGCGCATATCGTTTCTACATGCGCTTTTGTAAGTAGATCGAATATACTCAAGTATTCTATGAGGACAAGTAAATTTTCCGGATTAGGATTTTCAGTTTCTGCCAGTTCGAAAGTTATTTTAGGCTTTAAATCATGAGCTAATACATTTATAATGGATAAATTATATATACATATTTGTAATTAATTATAGAGACTGTTTCTGACGGCATCTTAAATAATCTAAGTTATTAAAGTAAAATTTGTCATACAAGTAAGTATATCTAAAAATTAATTGTAAGAGCTGTCTCAAATAAATACATAAAACCGCCCATCGATGAAGGCATTGCCTTGGTAGGCGGTATTTTCTCTAGCTATTATTTTACAAATCTGTTGTTTTAATAACGATTTTACTACTTTTATGCATAAATCTCAATGTCTGGAGTGCAGGGTTACCAAATCTCATTTTTGCCACAACAGCGATTAGGCGGTTTTGCAACTGTTCGATGGGCGGTTTTGCAAAAACATCGACGATATATAAGAATAGTTTTTTATTTGATTGTTGAAACAGTTGTGATCGCGGGAGATCGGGCTATTCTGCACTTTGAAGATAATAGCAACAACAAAGTACTTCAAGAATTAAAAAAAGGTAACCACATTCGTCCACCTTCAACAACATCGCGTTTTCGGGCATTTTCAGGGACAGTAGTCGAATGTTCTAGCATTAATTTAAGCCTAAGTGGACGGTATGTGGGGACGAGGAAACACACGTCGAACAAGCCTTTAAGGAGATTCGGGCGCTGAGTTTTATAATGCAACGAAGACAAATGGAGTCCAGATGCCTGCAAGCTAAAAATGTTGGACGAGCTCCTTGCTTTTTGTTATTTTTGGTCTAATATATACTTGGTGTGGCAAGCTATCTGCCAGTGTGGCACGAAGAGCCAAAAATTTATTATCACGGGCTCTAAAAATCAAGAAATTTATATGAAGAAGTGTATTGCAAACACGATTGCAGTCGTTCATAAAGCAACATAGAGGCTCAGTTCTTTTTTGACCAAGGATGCATTGTAACGTTAATTTTAGCGTTTACCAAAA